ATTATTATTATTATTATTATTATTATTATTATTATTATCACTTTTTTCAAATATAAAATCGGTGTGGCTTTACCATTTTTGCCTTTGGAAAATGAATTTTTATACGCTTTAATTGATTACTCTCTTTGAAAAATTCTGTCCTGTCAAATGCATTAAATCAAGTGTAGATTTGGACAGGATTCACAATTACTGAGGTGTGTAAGGGCCAAATCAATGACCATATAGCATGTATAGAGCACTTCATCGTACCAAAACTGGAGTAAAGTAAAGGTAGAAGATTTGTCTTATCACACAGTACATACGTCGCAGCAGAATGGTTGTCAGAATTTGGCGCGTGCGATTTGTTTCTGAACAGCTGTTGAAGATCGTTTCAGAGGTTCTTATATTGCACCAAAAATAATTAGCTAAATAAATATAATATCTAAAGAACGAACAACAAATTAAAATTCCAAAACAATTTTTTGACGTTAAAACTAACTTCGAAAACTGTTTGCTGAATCAAGCTTGTTTTTGTTCTAAATTAGCTCTAAAACCTAAAAGAAAAGTGATTTGGGTGGGTATCTGCATGTCCTGATAACATACCGGTGTAGCAAATGAAGCTAGAAGTTACTGAAACAAGGTACTTTATGTAAATATTTTGCAAAGCTCGGAAATACATTTCCGGTCTTTTCCCAATGAGTGCTTGTAATTTCATTTTGTCAGTCGCATGTGGCCTTGAAATATCAAATGCTTAGCCAGAATTGATCGATCAAACACGGCTACAATTCCACAAAGCCAGTAACGGGTAATTCAAGTTAACTTTTCTTTCGGAGATAAAACAACGGAACTCGATTCAAGTAAATATGTTATTATAAGAAATAATGTTATGTCAATAACCAGCAAACCTAGGATCTACGTTAAAAGTTTCGTTGAGTTTTAACCAAGGTGGTGACAATTATAAAGCAGTTTGTGTCAACATACATCTCTGCGTTAGCTAAATCGAACTCCATAATTCTCGCTCTATTGAGGCAGAGCATTTTAATGAAAATGCAGTTTAGCGATCCATGATCTTCAACCCCGCTGCCCTCAAAACAGGTCTCGAACAAAAAGACTCCACCCGGTTTTATATTCTCAACACTAGGGATCAATGAATTTGAAAGTTATTTTAACTGGTGGATCAGCGCGCTAATTGATTCGAGAAAAATTTAACAGGTGTGACATCCTTATGGAGCTGGTGGTGTGAAATTTCTGTCACGTGACCTATGGACGGCCCGGTATTGTTTTTTTCATCATGAATAAAAGATAAGATTCAACTCCGACTTGGTGTTTTTGTTCTACCGGGGCCTGTCCTGTTCTTTATACACTTCACTTAGATTACTCTAACTGGGAACACAAGTTGAAGAAAAGGCTTGGAAATTTCAACGTCCACCCGAGTGAGAATAGTGTCATGGGAATTTGATCGCCGCACAAGAATTCAACGAAGAAGGACAAATCTGATGCGATAATGCCAAGTCAAGAGAGACTTCCTTGTTGAATTCTTCGCTATTCACTTGTCCCTTTCGTTTGTGTATTTCAATCATAAATCAAGATTTTATATAGTTAGGTAAGTGTTTCTGATCTGTTTAAAGGCTTAAATTCCCTAAGCAATACTTGGCTCAATGCAGTGAGGTTAGAACACCGTTTTGAAATTCGCTTTACTTGAAAGGCGCACGGATAGCAAGTCATTATTTTGTCAGACGATTACGTTGGTTTTGACAGGTGAGATTCATGACAAAGTTAAGACCTCAGTTGAAGCCATTCACAGTCTAATGTGTCTCTGTCAAACTTGCGAAATCCCTCTCAACGTAGTGGCAAAATTTATCATTTCTTTGCCAGGCAAAAATCGCGTTTATTAGAAGGTTCACTTTCGTGATCTAAAGTTGGGTCACAACCAGTTGTCACAGCGGGAAATTGAGGCTCTTAAAGATCTTTTAAAATTCACAGTTCACGTATAGATATATATCTAAGATTACAAGGGAATTTTAGATCTATCTAAAATAATTTGGCAAGACTGTAACTACCATTGAAAATCTTCAACAAAGTTGTTTCAAATTGAACAACTTAAAAGTGAAATTCCTGCCACTTGAAGTATAACGCCCTTTTTACTAAGAGCCTTTCAAATGAGAGGCAAATAGATTGTATTAACGTACGAGTTATAATTTAAAATTAGTTTTAAAATAAGTTGACAGTAAGAGCCCTTATGTCAAGGTTATCTACTCCGACATTTGAAAGGTGCTGTTTATTTTATAGATTACTAACTACGTTCACATTTTTCTCCATTTCTTTCAGAGCTCATCACGAAGAGCGTATATCCCTAAAACCAAATGAGACTTTTTGCGCTCGGAATATTTCTTTTGTTAACTTGGAGGACAGAATCATCGGGAAGTAAGTATCTTAATTGACGTTCCAGCGGTATATAAGTCGCATATTTCATTTTATTATATTCACAAATGTAACCCAGTCTATTGTTGGTTCCACAGTTAGATTTGTTGTATGTGTCATTCGCAATCTACGTGATTCTCAACAGAGTATTTCTCTCTTTCCATTTCGACTTTTAAAATCTCAGTCAACAAAAAACGATAAAACAAAAGAGGAAATGGCTGGAACAGTTTCGGCTAACGGAAAGAAATATGTTTGCAATGCATAACAAATTTTGTGATGCTAATTTATTAACAATATTTTTAAATTTAACCGGTCAGAAGTGTGGAAACTTCATGTACCTCTAAACACCGAAAGGTTTTTCTATTCAAAGCTTACGAAGTCAGTTTTTGAACGTTGTAAATTATCAGATTATTTCTCTTTTAAAAATAAAGCTTTTCAGGGAAGTGTGAAATTGTCAATTCTCATTTCTGATTGTCATACATTTTTTTAATACCTAGTTTGAGAATTAAGTGGTTCATCAAAGCCTATCCTCTAGTTGATGCTATTTTCTATTCTCATTACCATTGTGCTTGACAATGTATCGATACAACAAGGAGAAATTAGATTTTGATAATTCCCCTTTTTTTTTCTATTTAGAAAAAAGAACCCAGCATAAGTCACATTCTCACTCGCATGCCCGTCGCTCGGTTCATGAAGATCAAGGGAAATCCAAAGATTCTTCAAAACGCCTCTATCAGATGTTAGCGAGGAGAAACATATTAACAAGGAGAAGAAGAGAGCTGATGACAGGTCCACGTAAGTGATTCAAGGGGACCCTAGGGCCTCATTTGAAGGTCACCGATGCATACGATTCATGAGGTGTTTGGAGAATTATTTTTTACTCTCTCGATAGAACGTTTCTCGTCTTAAATCGAAAGCTAAGCAATGACTTCTCTATTCACCCCAGTTTTATTTCCATGCCTAAAAGATGAGATATCTGAGTACAAAAATTGTTCAAGATTCTCTTCCTACTGGACTGACTTGTGACCAGCAAATTCTAGAAGAAAGGTACAGACCGATACGCTCGGAAAGCTTCATGAAAACAAAACTTACGCTTTCATGAGCTTACCAAAAAAAAGCACTTGACTACATCTGTCTCGTCCACCCCAATGTGTTTCAAAATTTTCTTCCTTTATAATAATGCGTTTTCCTACTTGAAAACGCGTCCAAACCTTCGCTTCAACACTACCGTCTTTGCAGTATTTTCCCTGTCCACACTAAAGCGCTGGAAAACCTGGCCACAGACTTCATGTATGCACACGTATATGTTACAATGTATACGAACGACGTCATTTTTTTTCGAACGGCTTACGATGGGCTCTGGACAGCGTTTTCAAACGATCGTACGCTTTTTCGATCGTTTATGTGTGGACGGTAGGCGAAAACGCATCTAAACGTATGCTTTTTCAAACGAAAACACGTCAGTGTGGACGGGGTCTTTGTCTTCCCAACTTTGAAGTGTTGTAAATAGAGCACTACCTTTATTCGCTAAAACATCTACCACGATTGATAACTTTTGTTTCATTTATTTTTATTCAAGCCTCTACAACCCAGGTGGAAATAAAATTCAGGAAAAAATGGCTCGAGGAGATGTCAGACAAAAAAAGTTCACAGTACAAACTCATGGACGGAAATATAGTTGACGCGGTAAGTTCTTGATATACCAAATCCTGGAGGTGAATCTTTTGGTTACTTTATTGCTTTGTTCTGCCTTCTTAGCATGAGACGTTGAGCACAGAAACCTTCATGCTAGATGCAAAATAGTTCAAAACAATTAAAAAGGCAGCAAAACTTAGTAATTAGTAAGATTTACAAGTTCTTTTGGTTTATAATTGGAGACATTGGCTCCACTGAACTACACAATCATATCATTTGGCAACTACTGATGACAAGATCAAGGTTTACAGATCTATACCGGGTCAGGTATTCTAAGTCTGATTAACGCTAAACTAGGATTAATACAGAGCTATTCGAAGCTTAATTTCTCTCATTCAAACCTCTGTTATAGAGTTTTATAATTTTTTGATTCGAAACTGAAGGGAAAAAACTTTAAACTTGAAAGCTCACTAAAAAGAACTATATTGCTTTTATAAAATATTTCTTACAAAAATACCCGCGAATCTAAAACGTCAACTCTTATCTAAACACACCTATCGACCAATGACAGCGCGCGTAGTATCTCACTTTAAATGTATTTATTCTATACTTTCCAACCCTAATTAAAATGTTTATTTTGGGTGACCAGCTACTGTGGTTATTTTCAATTTAACTATTGATTTGTATGTCTTTTAAATTACGTTACAAATAAACGTTGTCTTGTCTTGGATAAAACTGAATTCAGATTCACGATTAAATCCTCAGGTTAAGCTTTATCGCGCTTAGATTTCACCCCATTGCCATATGTGGGTTGCGTTTGTTGTTGGTTCTCGTCTTGCTCCGAGTGAGTGTTTTTCCCAGGGTTCTCTAGTTTCCCTCCCTCCATAAAAACCAACGCTCCAAATTCCAATTCGGGCAGGAAAAAGGACCCGCATGAATTACAACCAGCTAAGGCTGATGTGGAATCCTGTTTAAGAATTTTAATTATATTTATTTATGAAGGGAAAAGAAAAGAAACTAATTTAGTCTTTTTTTTATGTGCCCATTATTGTTTAAACAATTTTAGATAACCACAGAACTCATCGGGGACACAAACTATCTTAGTTCTGCAGTGATGACGCTAAAGTAAGTAGAAAACTGATATGATCCTTGCTATAATATAGTTAAATTAGAGAGCTATAGGAATATTGCGCACTGTCAGCGGTATTAGTTTACTGTTATGCTGTTCAGAATGATTATTTTACGTTTCTCCGGATAGAAACCTTGGTGTGCGGGCGTTCCTCAGCGTACTTTCATGAAGCGGTATTCGTCTTCATTTTTTCTCACAAGGGAATTTGAGTCAGTATCAAATTTTCACCAGGTTTATTTTCCTCTCCTTTAATTCAGAAATTCCCAGGAGCCTAACTCAAGCGTGTTAGCGGACATTGAGCTTCAGTTTGTGTCGGACGAGCTGGATCCGATCAAACATCTCCGAGCTATAGTGTCCGGCGGACACATCTCTGGGATGATGGTTTATCCCGATTACTTCGTTGTCTTAGGAGGTAGGATCGCTCGCCTGATTTATGTTTCTCTTTGTAAGTCTAGTCTTCTTCGCTGCCGTCATCTGGAGTCGTCACGCGAAGCTCTCTTCTCTCCTCCTAAGTTGCGTGACGACTCAAACTACGGCTGAGACAAAGACTACATAAGTCAGGGTCACACACATGTAAACGGAAATCGTTTCATCGCCATCACTCCCGCATGCATCCCTGTCCTCTACAGTAAGATATACGTTTTACCTGATATTCAGTCTTGGGAAATTGTGTCCGGCTGAGCTTGAGTACAGGAAAGTTGTATAGTAAAACGACTCGATGTCATGGCGGCCCTGGTAGTCACCGTAAGATTTTCCGAATGCTTGAGTTAATTTTTTAATTGGACAACAAAAATGTAAAGCAGCGCATTCATTTCAGTCTTTCTTGTCCTTTCAGGGGGTAATTTCAAGTCAGTTAAAGGTGTTTTGATTGTTTGTGATTATTTCAGGCAATACGAAACCTGGTGCAGCAGACCAAGTGAAGAGCAACACACCGACCGGTCCTAGTTACCCAGCAAACTTTGCGACCCTTAGTAAGTACAACCACATAAAGGATGTTTCACTTATATATTTATTTGTTTATTTGTTTGTTTGTTTGTTTGTTTGTTTGTTTGTTTGTTTGCACTATATACGCCCACATTTAGCAAATAGCTTTCATGTACTTAGACTTAATTTCATAGTGTTATTTAGGCAACGATGCTTGGTGTCGGGGTTTAGAAATGTGGTGAAGCACGGCCTCTCGTGTTGGATATTTAACTAAGCGTTGTTCCGTATATAAACTGATCTGTTTAGTCATAAAATGTATATTTTCTCAATGACGTATGCCGCCCGCATATCAGACTGCTGGTACAACAATTTTCCTTTATGAAAAACCGTTTGTTCTACCTGTTAAGATTATTGCCCATAAAGCTGCGCCTTTTCCAATGCTAATAAACTTTATTCCTTTTCTTGGTTTTAGTAAAAGACTTTCCTTTCGATGTGAAACTGCAGTTGCCCTGGCATCCCTTCCTTAGCGATATAAATAACTCGAAAACAAAGAGTATCAGTTCTTCTATTGAAGACACAGTGAGTATCCTTCAGTGTGCAATAGCTATCTCAGATCAGAACGGCACAAATTCATTCCCGAGTAGTAAGCTTTATAATGGATTGAAGATATTCATTTTTTTAGTGCAAAACTGAGAAGGATCAGTATCATTATATCTTTTTGTTTGTTTTTCTTTCAGTTAAAAAAAGCTTTTGCTAGTGACCCATCTTTTATTGATATTAAAGTCATCGGCTACAAGTAAGTGTAACACTAGTTTTTTATTGATTTGGAGAAACAGATTAGCTTCTTTCTGGCATTGGTTCTCAGCAATCCTACTATAGGGGCTAAGTAATAGCTATTTACCCCCTTCGCTAGGTTTCTTAGAAATTTAACCCAGTAAAAACAGTTGGTACACTGAAGGTATAACGGTAACCAACTGTCCCAGCTCCCAGAACTCTACTGGGCCACTTGCCTTGCCAACCAAAGTTTTAACTTGCAAGATTTTGCAGAGCTGCCAAACAAACTTTTTCTTGAAAGCCTGATTTCAGCTAGCAGTTGGCCTGTAGCTTTCCGGCCTATCACACATTCTGAAAGCGAAGAACACGGCAGCTCCAGTATTTACTTCTTCTGTAAAACTTGGTCTACTTGTAGATTCTAACACGTGGTTACTGACTTTTCTCAGTGCTAATATTCATTCCAAATCATATCTTCTCGAAACTCTCTTGATTTTACATCTGAACCTTCTTCATCTCTTATCGTAGTCAGTTCCCTGATGGCAGTCCGCATGCGCGTATCGTACTTCGATTTAAACCCGATGGAACTGATCCGGAGGAGCTGCTAAAGAAGTTGGTTACCGGCGGTCATTTAGGAGATGTGGCTATCTTTAACGATTACTTGAGTAAGTCCATTATTGGTCGTTTGTTGTTGGCTAGCGTAAGCTGTCGCTACAACTTTCAAACTTTCAAATTAGCATTTAAGTTTTTTTGTAGGACCAATGATATTTTTGCTTACAAGTTTTCTCCGATAGTCTAAGATCATGAATTGATTTACAAATAATCAGCAGCTATCACTAACTTAGATGGTTAACCCATCGGAGACATCGGAAGGCAGAAAGACTGAAGGTGTCCTAAAAATCTAAAAGGCCATCTACATAGCGAAACATTCCAAGTGAGTGAAACAAGTGAACAGTTCTTGACTATCCTAAAAATGCAGATATCAAAATCTGCATGAAGGAAGAAAACATAAAATTAGTCAATTATTGTTCTAAGACAATGACTCTATAAACATCTTTCTTTCAACAAAATTAACAGTGCTCAGTTTCGCTGCACTTTCAGAAAGGACATTAACCCAGTAAAGATTTGTACTTTGTGTTTGGACTTGTAACTCGACAAGCAATACTGTGCACAATAAATTATCCTTTCTGACTGTTTTTCTGTGCCGTGTTTCTTTCTTTAGACGGTCAGATGCCTAAGGCTGCTCCTCCGGCCCCTGCTCCTGCTCCAGCTGTACCGCCACCTATGTCCCCTCTCCTCACTGCTCCTGTCGCGAACGCAACTGTGGCCCAACCTGCAGCTGCTCCTGTTGTTCCTATTGCGAACGAAACTGTGGCCCAACCTACAGCTGCTTCTTTTGTTCCTGTTGCGAATGTAACGGTGGCCCAACCTACAGCCGCTCCTATTGTCCCTGTTGCGAATGTAACGGTGGCGCAGCCCACAGCAGCTCCTGCTGCTCCTGTTGCGACTCAACCAACCGTGGCTCAAACGCAACCTGCTGCAGTGCCAACTAATGCTGGCATTCAGTATGCACAACCTGGGGAATGTAAGTGCCACTGGATTGATTGGACCCAGGATACCTTTAATGTCCCATTTATCATTTGATGCGTCAGGCTAGAACCTTCTCAAGGATTTCGAATCGTTCGGAAGCAATTTAGCATAGGCCATCACTGGAAACGATTATAGCGCACTGGAATAATGAATTTAGTTCAATGATATCTTATTTATTTTGATTGGATCTACATTAAGATTTAACTGGGTGATGCATTCCTGGGAGTGAAATTTCAAACTAAACTGAGTTTATCTTTCTAACTGGGATGTTTGTTTTACACGTGAATATAGCTTTGAATGGAACTGTGAAGTTAAATGAGTCTTGGTACGACTACATGGGAAACACACAAAGTTCGACATTCAAGATATTGGCGGAAGATATCGAGCAAGCGGTGAGCTCCTTTATTTTGATTTGATATTTCGTTACTGAATGTATGGACTATCTGCTCGCAAGGCTGAACGAATGGCTGCATGACTGACGAACTGACGGGTCGAAGGACTGACTGAGTAAAGAACTGACTGATAAAAGGACTGACTGATAAACAGACAGTCTGAAGGGATGGCTGCCAGTCTGTCTAAGGGACTAACCCACTGACAGACATACGGATGGATGTACTGAATGACAGAATGACTAACTAATGGACGTACATATTGAGGGACGGCCTGGCCTGACTCACTGACTCACTGACTGACTGACTGACTGACTGACTGACTGACTGACTGACTGACTGACTGACTGAATGACTGAATGACTGACTGACTAACAGAGGAACTGACTGACTGACTTCCAGGTCTGACAGACTTCTGACTCCCTGACTGAGGGACGCAATGCGGGAGGGACGGCTAGTGGCTTTTAAGTAATAATTGACTTACTGGTATTCTGGCAGAAGGCAGCGTGACGGAGTGGTTAGGGCGCCGGACTTGAAAGCGGAGGTTGAGGATTCAAGTCCCGCTCTGACCACTTAGCTGGAATTGTTTCTTGGGAGACTCTAGTTCAACTCCTCGGTCATGCCTGTAAATAAGCAACTGGTCTGCCTCCCGCCAGTTTGGATTTTTAAGCCTATCATACTTAGTTCATATATTTGTTTCTTTCAGTTTAAGGTCATTCCACTGAAATAGAACCTGCACTGAGATTTTTGTGAAACCTTGCCTATTGATTGTTTATATTATAGGAACTTAAATTTTGAAATAAAAATGAGGGGTCCCCATGTTCGTTTAGGAGCAAAAGCACCTTGTTTATACCCATATAAATCCTTATAATAGCACCATGATTGTAGTTACGATTGCTTGCTAAATTCACGT